GGCTATTCAAGCAGCTAGTCATTATAAATAAATCTCCCTTCTCCAATAGTCCTAACCTTGATATTATCACTAGTGGAGAGAATTTGCAGACATGAACGGTCGCGGCTGCTGTGCAAAACTTGCGCAGATCGCCATAAATGGGTAATTAATAGCATAAAACTCCAAGACAATAATGCGGCTGCGTTTGTTTTGATGCGATCCAGGAAGCCAGTTCAAGTCCCGTATAACAGTGCTTTTTTGAGCGATTTTACGAAAAAAAAAAGAATGCCTAACCTCCCTCCCTTTTCCCGCGAATGAAAGAGTAAATTTAATGAAAACAGGCATTGCATACAACTAACAGCTCGCTCAAGCCTTTGGCCTAAAGTACATTCCAAGTCAAATTTTGACGCGCTTTATGTTTTGTTGTGCTCACCAAATCTAACCATTATTATAGTAAAAATCAGGTCTCTTTGCATTCTTTTCGATTTTTTATTAGGTTGAAACACAATCGATAAGCATTCCACGTCTCCCTTCTTGAAATGCTTGTTCCAAAGAAGAAAACATAATTCACAGAAACCTTTATACACCATCTAAAGCCCTTTTTTTCCAGTTTCTCTTATATACTTTTATTGTAGAAATAAGTTCATTCTGAAATGCCGTACCTTGAAAGACATCCAGTTTCAAAATTTTCTCATCAAAAAATCCAGCTTCAAACTATTTATATCTTGACCTTCAGATTTTTTAAAACGAACACAATAAGAGTTAAAGAGTTGTGCTACAAATACACATTAATTTAAAAAACACGACTTGCACGACTGCTGCCGCACTTAGCGACATGAAAAAAACCTTTGTTCACCAGATACTGGAGAACTTTTGTTATACAAAGAAAGCGTATATTTAGGACTATTTAAAAAAAGAAACAAAAAGTTGTTTCCGTTTTTTGCATTGAACAAAGTAGAACAAATCAAAGACGCATCCTCTTCTTTAAAGGAAGCTGATTTATTTTCATTCAGAGCATCTTGAAGCAGAAACGTTTTTTTTAAATTCAGCGGCTTCTAGGTGTGGCGAACACATATTGCAAAAATCGAGTTAAAATTTGCAGCTGAAGTACTTGAGGCCACAAATTTTTACACCACATGTTTGATAAAAGCGACTTTCCGCCTCATTTGCGCTATGAATGGGATAAATGGTTACGGTATGGGCGCATGGAGAGAGCAAGGGAATTTGGATCCATCGGAAACTACTTCCGACAAAGTGAAACCCTTTCACGCACCGATATAAAGAAAACCTTAAGTGTCAATCATTTCACTGTTTCACGGCTGAGTTCCTAGACTGATAATGACACCAGAGTTCTTGGAATGATAGTGACACCTTACTGAAGGTAATTGTCCTTGCGCTGAGCACTACGTCACGAGCGTAAATTCAAGTTTCAGTCCACATCTTCCATTGTGGCGTAGAGACAGTATACGATTAAGTTGGTGGAAATCACGTAAGATATGACTTTGACTTACAATATCGAACGTTCTACCATTTGGAACATTCAATGATTAGTCTTAATGAATTCGATATGATATGACATGATTCTGCAAATTCTGCATCATTGCCTATGAGCTATGACCCGTTGCTAATCACTGCAAACGGGAAGAAAAATCCCGTTCTAATTGACTTGCTTTGCTAGATGCTTTGCTTTTCCCGTAAGCGGAACCCAAACTAATTGCTGATCAAAGTACACACATTACTAGAATCTATTACCAACGCAAAGTTCAAAAAGATCACTGCAAGTGCTTCACATGAAAAACCACTAACAGCTGACAAGACAATGCTGCTGAACGAATTCGCCGAATAGTCTAAAATGAATCTGTTTATCAGAATGGTGAATGTGTGTGACTGATCACAAGAAAAAGTCCTGTTCAACTTTGCACGCGCACGCATATTTGACCCTTATGCGCGAATGATAAACTTGTTGTAAGGTCACCGAACTTTTGTACACATGTGTCTGTGGTGTCTAGAAAAAAGAAACAATTTATTTGTTGATGAGGTTGGGAGCAGACATCACAATGAATTTACAACCCACAGAAAATTCCCTTCCAGATTATACCCCTTGATGCAAAAAGGCGGAGGCATGAAAGGCACGGTCCACCCAAATTGAGGGAACAAGATTTTGATGCCATATAACGGAGCGGCTAGCTAGGCCATCGCCCAAGTCTCGCTGCAAAAGATGAATTCCGAAGCGAGAAAAACGCTCCAGAAGCTAGAAGCCTCACGTTGGCTCCGCCCATCAACGTGGGTGGTCTGAAGACAAAAAATTCAAAATCGGGCTTTAGGGTAGATAGAAATATCGAAAGTCTGATAATAACAATGAGGGGCGGATTTATGGCAACTCTAGAACATTGAAACTCTATTCTGGGCTTTTTATCTTCGACCACCCATGTTGATGGGCGGAGTCAAAGTGGAGCTTCTACCTTCTGGAGCGGTTTTCTCGCTTCGGAATGTATCTTCTGCAACGAGACTGGACCGGTGGCTTATTAGGGGCCCCTATATTATATGACATCAAGATCTCATGAGCCTCAGTTTGGGTGAACGGTACCTTAAAGCCGCATTGTCCACCTGCGGAGGCAACTGGAATGAGCCGTAGAAGTAGAGGTTCAAGAAGTTCAAACAGGGCAGAGGGGGGGGGGGGGGGAACAAGGAAGATGCAATGGAGATTTCCTACTATTTTCTCTGGAAACATTTTGGAGACGCTTCTCAAATTGGCGCAAGCTTACAGACTAAATTTTACAAAAAGCGAGTTTGAGGGGGGGAGGGGAGGGGGACAAGTTTTACACGGCTATTTTGAGATTGAAAAAAGGATTATATCTTGATCATCTACAAATCATGAAAGTTAAGGCTCGAAGCAGACTATTTCTTATGCCTTCGTTCTAATATGTATATACGCATAATTTGTGCCAGATGTCCGCGTAGGTGAAGCCTATAGCTCCATGAATTCCTCTACCCATGCGAAGAAATCGCAAAAACAGACACATAACTTTAAATCATTAATTATCACTGTCAAGGACACTTCACTTAATTTTGGTCACAGTTTTGTTTTCGTCAAAGTACTCCATTAATCTTTCTTCATGTGGTTTTAGTCATCAATGAACTAGCAAAACCACATCGTTCCTGATCAAATTAACGATGATGCGCTTTCCTTTGTTGTACAAAGCACTTCACAAACAAAAATGTATGGATGTATCAAAGAACGCTCCTATACGGCGAATAAGAACTTTTTGAGAAAGCGAGTTCGTGCAACAGACTCTGATTTTTGCAAGTGGGTGTTTTTCTCACAAGGAAAAGCAGATCCAGTCAGTTTCCCACGGGTCTTGAACATAACAGCTTTTTTCCAGGATACCGTAATCGAAAAATCAAACCATTTTTCACCGCGCAAATAGGAAAAAAGATGATGTATACAATGAGGAAATGAACTACACGCGTTTTGCTATACATATATGTTAATGGACCGGCAATTTTTTTGCGTTCTTCATTTGGGACGACTAGCCCTATACTAACATGTATTTTATAAATAGAACACCCAGAGCGTGGTGATATTAGATAAAGATAAAGATAAAAACACCAAAAAGCCGTTTTCCTATTGGACTCCAAGTTCCCAAGCTATTAATTAGTGCGCCTATCTCCAGATGTCCTGTTTTCTTAAAGCACCAATGAACCATTTGTCATCAATAGTTTGATGAGAAAGAAACTGCATGGGACCGGGACAAAAACTGCAAAAATTGAAAGTTCGAAGAAACCATCAATTCGCAAACACTTTCGCAGAAACCTCTAGCAATCATCGATGGCACTCTAATGGATGTTTCCGGACAAAAAGAAACTGTGAGACACTTAGAAGCATGTTCGCACCACTCAACTGATATTTTGAAAAAAGCCCTAGATTGCAGCATGGCACTCTTCTACTGATTTGCGCAGAAAAAAAACATGAAAGAGATTCTGTAAGGTTTGGATTAAGTATTACTAGACTATATTAGGTTGTATAAAAAGTTCTCTCCGATTTGCAAATCTCTGATACAAAATTTTATAGCTCCCAAAATCAAGACTTTATAAAAAAATTAATTTTGCTGATTATGCGAGTTTATGGCAATCGCGAGCAATGTATGCTATGTAAGGAAGGCAAGCGAGAGAAAAAAGAAAATTTTTGGGATTCTGCAAGGTTTTCTTCAAAGTCGTCTTGACGACTAAGGCTTGCATTGAGGGGCAGACATATTTGGCTACCTACCACTAACATAAGCAATTTTGAATGCACCACATGTTGCTATATGTAGATTGTTGTCGTTTGTTGCATGACTAAGTTTGTCCTCTGTCTTTGAGGAAAAATTGGAAAAGTGAGACATTCTCTACGTCGGAGGAAGAGTATGCTTATGTTAGCCTATTACACCTTCACCCATCGTAAAATATCTAATATTTAGTTTTTTGTATACTGCGAAATGGAAACCTTTTCTTCGGCATGACTGCATTTTGGCAACTTTACTTTGCGGCTTGAAATTTCATCACTGGGAAGTTGATTTGCCAAGCATCAGTAAGCACTAGAAAGAGCAGAAAAAGTGCTTCTAGATGATGTTTATGACACTGCCATAAGTGCAAAACTCTAGGAAAACAGCTGCGTTAAAACAAGGCAACTGAAAATCGGACAGAGTTTCTGAAATAACTTAGTAGATACCGGATAGACGATGACTCATCTCACAATTAGACACATAACTTTTTTCAGGAAATCACCTTAGGGCGACTAGACGGGTTCGCTAATATGACATCGAAAAACTTACCCAAAACAAGGAAATATTACAAATTCCACAAAATCTTCAAGTTAGACTAAGGAGGAAGTGTAACAGCAAAAAACTAGCGTATCTTATCCCATTTGGTAATTACTTGTCTTTTCTGATTTAGTCAATCAGAAAAGACAAGTAATTACCAAATAGGATAAGGTACGGTAGTTTCACTTTCTATACAAAAAGGATACCAAGTGATTGGCCCACCTTCACAGCTTTTCCAAGCAGTTCATCGACATATTTGATCGCTTCCTCGTTTCCGAATGATTTCCATAAGCCGTCGCATGCCAGAATTAGAAATCTGAAAATTTATTCACTACATAAACATTTCTTCAAAACAAACATCTTATGTTTCCCTATCAACTATCACTGATGAAAAAGACGGAAGTGGCACAGCGTCTCACAGAACAACGCAAGATTTATGCTAAGAAAAACTCGTTTTACACTAATCAAACTCTTGGGTGAACAAGTAGATTAGCCCATGTATTACTGATAAATTCATGTTTAGAGAGATGTGCTTTTTGCTCAACATATGTTACCTCGGAAATCTGCGCATTAGTATTCCTACTTCAGGAAAGATGTTGACATTTCAATAGTTCATATGGCAAAAGCTTTCTCGCTATATATCAATGCGCAGGATCGGTAAAACCACACATTCAGGGGAAGCTGTTTGTCAGCCAATAGGTCGAACAATAAAGAAAATGAGTTTCCTTCATTTTAAGTGATAGAAACACAGATGAAAATAGGTATATAAAAACCTGGAGTACATTTATAAAACTGCAAACAAAATTGACTTATATAATCAAAAACTATATTTCGATGTATCTTCGTTTCGTTCCTTCCCTTGGACGTAGTAAGTATAAAGATAAGCCTGTATCAAACAAAAAAAAAGAAATATCTCGTTTTCAAAAAAAAAGACGTACAATTCTTAGCAACCTACATAGTATGCATGCTAATTATTATTATCTCATTATATAAACACTTTACTTCAACAGAATTGAAGAATGGAAAAGAATTGGAAGCTGCACGTATTTATAATCACATATCTGTACTAATTTTCTCATTCAGAAAAGTAGATCACATAAGAGTAAATAAATTGAGTCATTTGGAAAATTCCACATTTTTCACTCAACGCAATTTAGAAAACAATACGAACCTTCCGATTTTTTTTTTCAACTAACAATATTGGAGAAAAATTTGAGTATCTCTTTGATAGCTTCAGAGCCGCGAGTTGCTAAGATGATTTGACTAGCTCTTATAAAACGATTAATTTCCCCTCCCCAAGGCATATGATTCAGACAATTTTATCAAAATTGCAGGAGATCATGAATATCCAAAAATATGAAGCGCAAGACTTTTGTACTAACGTGATGAGATGCAAGCAAATGCTCTAAATGCATTTTCCGTTCTTGCAAGCCTATAAGCTTCTTTTTTTTTAGCTTAAGCTAACGTCATTGACGAACAGCTGTGCTATATCCTTTACTGCTTGACATAAGTGTCTCCATTTCCCATAGCTCTAGCTTCCCTTCGATTTTGCCAACCCCTTCAACCCCTTGTAATGTCAAAAGCCCAAATAACACCAATGTTCAAAGCTCATGTGTCCATTTTCACTGCTATGAAATGTGAAAATATGTCATCGAAAAATGCTCATAGCGCGGCATCTCGTTGTCGGTTCAAACTGCGCAAACCACACGCTCACGGCAAAGACGCTACACTAAACAGGCCCAGCGGAGACCCTTTCTACGAGTCACACCCCCCCCCTCACCACCACCACAGACAGGGATATAAGGCGGTCAGCGCAATGGGCGACGGGTGCTGACGTCCCAAATACCGTAACCAATTCGTGTCTGTGTGTGCTTTTTCTTTTGCTCGCTCCACCCCTTACTTGAGCATTTTATATATAGTTGTGGTCATCTCTGCATAACATGGCGCATTTGTTTTCTGTTTCTACCGTGCTCGCGCCTTCACAGAATCTCCTCAAGATCTTAGCAATATTCTTATCTTGGTTCTTAAGGTCGCTTTGCAGAGAAGCGAGGAAGGCATGGGTAAAACTCCATTGTTATATATTTCTCTAGCAATGCAATGCCTGTTTGAGCAAAACTCTAGTGCTTTTTATTTTTACTAACTTCAAGATGGACCTATGATCGTTTTGTTTTTTTAGAGTTGTGATATTTCGGCTGTATGTCAGATATTGATTTTTGCAGCATTCTATACTTTAAAGCTTATAAAATAATTGAATAAATGACTGTTTTCTTTCCAGACATGGCTCACACTGTTGGGAGCGATCGGATTGCACCAACAAAACAAGAAAATCCACTAGATGCAATTATTGTTCAATTTCCTGAACAACCAAAAAAGATATCTTTCGATGTATTGCTAGAACAACATCTTGGCAACTTTGGAAGGTAAGACAATCGGAAATTTCTTCGAAAACAAACAAACAACTTGTTTTCTTCCAGATACCAGTTGCTTCAATTCGTCTTGTTATGTTTACCAACAATATTCGTAGCCATGCACGTTATGAGTTGGACATTCGTTTCCATACCAGCAGTCATAGTGTAAGTATACAAATTATGGAAAGCTGCTTTGGAATTTAAAGTTGTCACTTCATTATGGGACTGAACATCCAATAAATGATGCCAAAATTATGTGAAATCATCGCAATCACTGCTTAATCATCACAGATGAAACACTTCAATGTTTGCAAAATTTGAATTCTGGAACAAAATCAAAATCATTGTAAGGATGCCACCCTCACATCATTTATCAACAAACGGGCATAATGAAAAATAGAAATTGACTTTCAATGTGATAGGCGGTGAAGAATGGAATTCTCAAGAAAATGCAAAGATTACTGTAATGACGTAGAGCTTTCGTTTCAGATGTGCCAACAGTACGACAGCAGAAAATTGTACCACCGTTGGATATTCGGCAGCTGATAGAGTAAGCAAAACATCAAAACCATTTTGGATGACGATGAAATACTAAAGGCTAGATAAATCTTTTTAGTGGGACATTCGCGGCGATAGATCATGGATCAAGGCAACAGTACAATCACTCTATTACATCGGTCAGATGATTGGCTCATTGGTTTGCGGAATCATGGGCGATAAGTAAGCACATATAGACTGAATACCAAAATAATTCTTGAACTTTTCGCAAAAAAAAAATATTTTTTAGAATCGGAAGAAAGCGCGTTTTCTACTTAGCCATTATCCTACAAGTGACTTGCGGTTCTCTACTGTCTGTTGCACCCACATGGTGGCTGTTTGCTATCCTAAAGCAAGTTTTTTACTTTGCCCTTGACAAACAAGCTCATTATGACATCATGCAATATATATGAACTTCCAGACTCGGAACTGGATTGACACAGCCAGGAATTTATAGTGTAGCCGTAGTATTAGGAATGGAATTAGTAGGTGCAAAGTACAGAAGACTTGGTGCAGTTGTTGCTGGTGCTTTCTATGCATTTGGAGAGGTATGGATCGATTACCGTAATATTACCGTAATACCATCACTCACATCAAGTTCTCGTTTTAGATGCTTCTCTCTGGTATGGCATATTTTTTGACAGACTACCGTATTCTCCATGCTGCTATCGCGCTACCATCGCTCATCTTCATTACCTACTGGTGGTCAGTGAACTCTACCCAGAATAACCCTAATTTTACCCATGTGATAGAGAACAGATACTAACTTCTACGATTCAAGGTTGGTCCCAGAAAGCGCTCGATGGCTTGTGACCAAGGAACGTTACGAAGAAGCAGACGTGATTTTGCACAAGGCCGCTCGTATGAATGGATCATATGTACCAGACAAATGGTAAGCAGAGACCAAATGATTGTTTCGAGAAGGCCATTTTACACTAGGGGCAATGGTATGTGTGTTATTACAGGGACTATTGAGAGCTATTTTAGGTGGGAACTTCTACAGATGAGCCAGAACAGCAAATACACATCATTTGGTACGATCGACCTTGTTCGCACCCCAAAAATGAGAATCCGAACGCTTGTCTGTTTCTTCTTGTGGTAAGTGATCTCAGGCAATTTCTTGACGGACCTATACAGATGTACCAAACTTATAGGCCTGTCAATACTATGATGTACTATGGTCTCACCATGAAAAGTGATCTCGGCGGTGGTAACCTGTACTTGAACTTCGTCTCGAGTGCCCTCATGGAAATCCCAGCTCTTTTCCTCGTATATTTTTTAATTGATCGTATTGGACGCCGACCAATGGTTGCAGGAAGCTTGATGTTGGCAGGAATTTGCCTCATCATCAACTGGATCGTAGGCGATGATGGTGAGTTTTGACCCGCCTTGCTCGAAAAGCATATTGAACCTTCTAATTTACCAAACTTATTCCAGTCCCATTCTATTGGGGAATGGCACAAATGTCGATCACGAAAGGAGCTGTGACCGTTTCTTACACAGCGATGTACACGTACACATCGGAACTGTTCCCAACAGTGATCCGTAACACTGCGGTGGGATGGTGTTCAACGATTGCACGTATTGGGGCCATCATGTCCTCGTATGTGGCACTATGGCTGGTAAGAACATACTTATCATACATTATGTGACTAAGAGACTCAAAACTGTTTTGCGCATGATATATTAACAAGCTTGAACTTGTTTCTCCCTGTTTACAAGTAGCAAATTATCCTAAATGGGATAGAAATCAAGTGTAAAGGGCCGGGCATAGTTCACGCGATTTGGCAACATTCCAACTGTCCGTAACTCATTGTAAGTGCATTTTGAAAGCACAGAAGATAGGGCATTCTATCATTCCACGTAAGTTATACACATTATGCTTGTGCAGTTTGCTAGAGTTGAATACGAACACTTCTGGCGAATTGCCAAGCGTCGCGACTGAAATCGCGTGAAGTACGCCGGCCCTTGAGATTGTTTATTACACGATCAAGCTCATTTTCGATTGTGCAAAGCTAGTTTGAATCTCTCGGTCACATAAGGATACGTTCTAACACCGGTAGGAAAGTGATTCGCGAAATTGCTGGTAACGGTTTCATAGTGCGATCCACTGGAAAAAGACAGTAGTAAGGCAGACGCAAAAAACTGCTATCAGTTTGATTCAAAAGAAAAAGTTGAAACTGAAACCTCCACTGCAGTAAGAATGATAGGAAAAAGAGATTGGTCAACGCATTTAATTGAATTTGACAGCGATTTCGGTTTACGTAAATTATAGCGTGTTCCGAGGGACATGGAATTTTCCTAATATGAGATTTTTTTTCTTTTCTGGATCCTATAGTGAGAAGTGAGAAGAGTTTAAGTAAACAAAAGGAGCTAATCTATAAACTCAGCTTCAGTTACTTTAATTAGACATTCAAAACGAATGATATCAGATTTTCCAATTAATAAAGAAAATTAAACAAAATTATCCATTGAAGATTTTCCAAAGCCCACACCAGTATGATTCCAAATTCAGCGGATTTTATGGGATGTTTGGGATCGTGTTAATTAGCAAAAAAATTGAACAATGCTGGTACAAGTAATTATCATTGTGCAATTATGGTCATTGTCAACTCATCTACAGAATTAGCCATTCCGCCTCTTCTGTTTGCATTTCTCAGGAACAATGATTGACCCCGTTGATAAATCGAATTATATGCGCATATCAGATCAGATTAGGGTCAAGTCTACATGCGAAGGCCCGCCACATGAAACTACCAAGATTCAGCTAGGGACACCTTACTGTTCATTCAAAATCTCATAATTTTAATTTCAGGTGGATTCATATGGCAAACTAGCGATGGTCATTCCCTTCTGTGTGGTGTCAATGCTAGCAGCTATTCTGACGACGGTATTTTTACCGGAAACTATGAACAAACCAATGCCCGAATCCATATCTGAAGTGGAGGGCACAAAAATTTGAAGGCGCAATTTGATTCACGCTCCAAATTCGGTGCGTACGCATTAGGATAACGAATCTCAATGATACTCGACACGAACTACGGTTGCCTGTTCACGACACGACAACCACTGGAGAAGCGCAGAATCTTTCAATTCATCCGACACGAAACTAGATCAGTTTTTCGATTCGAATCCACTTAAGTACTACTAATCTTCCCGATCTATTGCATTTCGCCCAGTGTCAGGGTTTGGACAGGTGTGGCAATTTGCTACACTAAAGCTTTATTCTTTTTGCTAACATATTCTTTTTATTTCTTGTGCCTTAACTCAGCGCTTCGTTGTTAATTACTTATGAGAAGCGCATCGGTTCTTTACCATAATAAGAACGACATCTGTTGATGGACTGCAATATGTTTAGCAATATTGTTGACATTTGGACAATATTCACGATAAATGTTGGAAGTTAGTCCGCTTTGTTTCTCATATGAAAGACACAAACAGAGAAAATAAACTCCACAACACAACTCGACTGGAAGGTGCACATACAACCCGTATGCGTTGGATATGGCGATATCCATTTAGAAACTTGCTCATCTACTAATGGTCCATGCATTTCTAGACATCATCTGCCCCGATTCGTGTGGAGCGGGTTCAGGGCCCGGCATGAGTTCGTATCTAGTCTTTTTGAGAACAAAGTCCCCCTTGACTTTCGCCGAAATTTACGTAGTCCCCTTTGTCCCCAAAACCATATCTGTAAAAAAACCGTTCAAGAACGAAACGTCGACAAAAAAGCGTCGCATTTTTTTGCGTCTTTTTGGCAACAAAAACAATATCCCCTTTGCCCTTTCGCCCCAAAAACGAAGTCCAGCTCGTTTCCATAAGATCTGTGCCGGACCCTGATCGGATTGCGGACTTTTCCTGATTATAAGAATAGACTGGTTAAACCTCCCCACGTTACAGCATTGTTTTCGTAATCTCTCATTGAATTTATCCTTATAATCAGGAAAAGTCCGCAACATTTGGGGGCCGTTAATACGTTCAGAGCTGATGAGATTACAACCTTAGCGGTACTGTCATAGTTAGATTTCGTGTGCACTGACACTGTAACTCGAAACCCATAACCACCAAAAGTACACTAATGTCGCAGACCTGATAAAGCCTAACTAATAAGGGTTAGGGCTCGGCAGGAGCTAGCACTAGGGAAGTTTCAAAACGAAGTTCCCTTTGATGTTGAATATTTCGTACGAAGTCCCCTTTGACCCTAAATCAAACGTAAAAAACTCTAAAAAACGATGCATTGACTAAAAACGTTGCAATTTTAGTGTCTTTTCGCCCACAAAAACGACATCCCCTTTGCTTTCTGTCCCAAAAACAAAGTCCAGCTTGATCCGGTGCTAGCTATGCCGAGCAATGGCTAGGAGAAGAAAGGAGAAACCTAAGTTAAGACTGCTCCGAGCACTTTTAGATGCATTTGTCAAAGTTTAATTTGCTTCAAGCAATCCTTAGGTCAAATATGAGTTGAAAGTCAACAAAAATCTATACAGTCATGGAATTTCAGGTCCCTGTTCGAGAAGGTTCTTCTCAAAGGGATGGAAATTCCATGACAAACCTGAGGAAGCTTTCGCGATTGTTTCGGAAGTGGTTTACAAAATCCGTAAAACTTCGCTTATTTTGGAAACTAAGGTACTGCGAAATTTTTGAGTAGTACAGATACATTTGCGGAGGGCTTAGGGCTCAGGGTACGCCACTCTGATTGAGGAAATTTTTCGTCATCTCCCCGGAATCGTCAAGTGAATGTAAAAAAAATTGAGGTAGAAAACCGAGCTCGATACTGAATATCCTGATGCATCAATTTCAAGTAGAAAGCGCTTTGATAGACCAGTTCACAACAAAACCGCTCATAACTGACCATAAGAAGATTGAATATACCGACATATGCTATCTATCACTGCACACCGAAAAACCGCCAATATTGAAGTTATTCTCGTGCGTTTGTAAGAAAACTGGATAAACCTGTCTATTGTTCGCCAAAGGTTCGAACAGTAAGATTTCTCGATAGATCTTACTGGAACCCCTGGTAAAATTCTGACTCCTACTTTCTTACAAAAAAAGATCCTAAAGAAAGAATTTGTAGAAGTACCATGCCTTCAAATATTCTTAGTATCGACTTCAGAAGTATATTTTGAAAAACGCAATAATGAAACTATAATCAAAGCAACTAATCTCCGATCTTTATCAGTTTAGCGAGACATGACAATGAGAAATCAGACGGTGCAGTCTAGGAATTTTGGTCTGGGTGCTGCTAAGTGCACATACAGCAGACCTTGATCATAAAGTCCAAAGAAAGCGATTATTATCAAAATCTATAGTGAGGGATTTTCTCTTCCACGAGCCGTAATTTGCAAAAGGTCTATTTCACGGAGATGTGGGGAAGGATGAAAGAGAGATGGTCGCTGGCATAGCGGTTGAAGATTTGACACTGTCATTGTAAGAAGTTTACACGTGTTCTTCCCAGACCACCAGATTCCAACATACCCTTTGATTCAACTGGCTTGGCGTCTGGAAGGCGGTGCTTTGTGACCTAACTGAGGCTAGATAATGAACAGAGAGCACGCGCGCGAGAGAGACACAGACTGCATCGTGGACGCGAGCGGCTAATTAGGTCACAGAGCCCCGCCTTCGTCGCCAAGCCAGTTGAATCAAAGGTTAAGGGATCGTTCAGACCGCGCCTGTACCCGCCCAAATACGCCCAAATACGCCCGAATACGTCCAAATACGCCCAAATACGCCCAAATACGCCCAAATACGCCCGAATACGTCCAAATACGCCCAAATACGTCCGAATACGTCCAAATACGTCCGAATACGCCCAAACCCGCCCGAACGCCGAAACTGCCAATGCGCAGCAAATTGCATGCAAATTGGCATATTGGAGCGCGCGTGGAATACTGCGTGCGTGGTGCATATATGGTAGCCACACGTAGCTCGACGTTACATACCGATTTTCATATGCGACTAGCGGGATTACAAAGATCAATCGGCTTTGCGTCTGTTTTTATTTCTTCTCATGTTTGCTGACTCTAGATGAGTTCTAACCAGGGTAAAGCGGGGGGTGCGGCACTCGACCGTCGGATACGACCCCCCCCCCCTGATTGCTGTCTTAATAAGACCCCCTCCTAAACTATACACTTAAGATAGTATTACCTGAAGGCTCTGTCAAACATAATGGACAACATATCCATAATTAGCATGTCAATTAACCCCTGTAGACAAAGTGTGAGCGAATTCTGAAGATTCAAGATACTAGGCTACCTAAGTGAAATGGTCAAATTCCAACATGGTTAACTTTGTTTTAAAGGTGAATTAGCTATCCGTTTTTGCACTCAAGACAAAGCACTACTCCTTCTTTGTCCACCTCAGGAATCCCGCTTCAGAAGACCTCCAAACTGTGGAATTAGAAGCCAACCAAAATCTCATTTTTCCCATTTTTCGCTTTTGATGGCTGTGCTTTCACCAAATATTACTCAGAGCTAAGAAGACGAATCAGGCTCAAAACATCCCTATGGAATCTACGAGGTTTAGGCTATCGACTCATATAAATATTGTCCGCTAAAAATGTTTTTTTGATATAGTTAACGGCCTGCGGCACCCCTGCGGCACCCCTGCGGCAGCCGCAGGTTTTGAGGGGGGGTGCCGCAGGCCATTAACTATATCAAAAAAACATTTTTAGCGGACAATATTTATATGAATCGATAGCCTAAACCTCGTAGATTCCATAGGGATGTTTTGAGCCTGATTCGTCTTCTTAGCTCTGAGTAATATTTGGTGAAAGCACAGCCATCAAAAGCGAAAAATGGGAAAAATGAGATTTTGGTTGGCTTCTAATTCCACAGTTTGGAGGTCTTCTGAAGCGGGATTCCTGAGGTGGACAAAGAAGGAGTAGTGCTTTGTCTTGAGTGCAAAAACGGATAGCTAATTCACCTTTAAAACAAAGTTAACCATGTTGGAATTTGACCATTTCACTTAGGTAGCCTAGTATCTTGAATCTTCAGAATTCGCTCACACTTTGTCTACAGGGGTTAATTGACGTGCTAATTATGGATATGATACGAATATCATGTTATCGCTATAATCAGATCACCTAACTACGACCCCCTCCCCTTTTGACTCCTCAATACGACCCCCCCTCTGCGGCGTGCCGCACCCCCCGCTTTACCCTGGTTCTAACTTTCGTGCTGTGCGTTTTCTTTTCTTTTGAGCATGACGATCTTGGTGAGGTAATGCTTTGTTCTGTCTATGAGTCATTTCTTTCCATATTGATCTGGAATGAGTAGAATATGCACATTTTCTTTGTCTGTTTTCTAAGTACGTGCGTTGTCAACTTTTTGTTTATACTTTACAGGGACAATATGCCTAACGCGTAAAGATGACTAGAATACCTCTTCGGCCCCGGCCAGACTTCGCTCAAAAGCGCCCGAAAGCGCTCAAGTTTTTTGAATCTCTCTTCACTCCTATCTCTCCTCCAGAGAAAGACAGAAAAATTTGGGCGCTTTTGAGCAAAGATCGGGCCTTTTTATTGCACCAGATCAATATGGAAAGAAATGACTCATAGACAGAACAAAGCATTACCTCAACAAGATCGTCATGCTCAAAAGAAAAGAAAACGCACAGCACGAAAGTTAGAACTCACCTAAAGTCAGCAAACATGAGAAGAAATAAAAACAGACGCAAAGTCGATTGATCTTTGTAATCCCGCTAGTCGCATATAAAAATCGGTATGTAACGTCGAGCTACGTGTGACTACCATATATGCACCACGCACGCAGTATTCCACGCGTGCTTCAATATGCCAATTTGCATGCAATTTGCTGCGCATTGGCAGTTTCGGCGTTCGGGCGGGTTTGGGCGTATTCGGACGTATTTGGGCGTATTTGGACGTATTCGGACGTATTTGGGCGTATTTGGACGTATTCGGGCGTATTTGGGCGGGTACAGGCGCGGTCTGAACGATCCCTTAACTCAATTCGGATACATATTTAGCTGAACACACCTGTCATTCGGAGTTATAGTCAGTTTCTTCATATCCGGAATACATGTGATACCCAGTGTCTTGAATTGTCCATCGCCAATGGATCGAGAAACCTCGATTATGCCATTGACACGGCCGTCTCTAAAATAGGGAGGATTTTGTTGGGAAAATTAGCAAAAATGACTTCCAACAAACGTCATGCAAAGAGTTAAACTGATTTAACAAACAGCGACTCTTCTCAAAATATAAGCTAGCAAACGCAGAAGTCAAGTTGATTCCATAAGAATAAGTGACATTCTGATGCCCGGTAAAACACATGAATTTGAGTTTGCACGGCCCTTTAATCATGAACAGAAGCAGCTACCGCTGGGTGGCCACATTCAATATCTAGCATAACGCCTTAATTGACAACTGAAAACTGCTACATTAGATGCTTACTTGACGGTTCCACCCGCTTTTTGAATACGCATGCGCTCATCGTACACAGTCGGATTGTGATCTACGGTAAGCTCGATTGATGAGAAGCCATCGTCCTTTTTTCGGCAGACAATAGCCTGAAAAGGAGCCTTATAAAGGCAAGTTTCTACATAGTATTTCTTTATCAGTGATGCAATCTGTTCAAAATTCACTTTTCCCTACTCATTGTAGACCAGCAAAGTAAGTCCTAATGAAACCTCTGTAGCGAGTAAAGCTACGTTTTTCTTGAAAGCCTGTTAACTTACACCCCAATACAACATTAAACAAACCAATTTCAAGGCGGCAGTTTAATGTTGACTACCATCAGGCCCCTTTGTTTCAAAACTAAATTCAAAGCTTGCTGAGTGTTGGGAATGTTGTGTCCTCCACTTCGGACACGTCGACTCTTCGTCCTGAGGCGCACACGAGGAATAGAAGAATATTTATTAGCAAATAATAGAGAACAGTAAAAATAAAAGAGGCGATGAGTGAATAGTCGAAATGTAGAACTGAACTGAACTGACTAAGACTATGAGTGAGCGCCTTTTATAGCGCTCATTTCCCGCGCACTCTGAGGCCAAGATCGAATGCGCGAGGACAGATCACTATGAGGAAAACAGCTGATCATATACGAACACTAACACAACACCTCCCCCAGTAGGGTAGTTACACAAAACTAGCCTACGATAAAAAAACATGAACTACAAATATGAACAGCTAAAAATCGATTATACATAGATACCACTATCATTTAAGCAACTACAAAACTAATAAAACAAACATACGATAACATACTATGGACTAGGTTGGAACCGTTGTACCGGTCTTCTCGTTCTGCTCGATCTCCGAAGCGTTGGCTCTGGCGTGGAGGGCTCGTGGCTTGATGGCGACGTCGATGTCGTTGAATCCACGGGTGCTGGCACATCGCTCGCGATCGCTTGCTCGGGACTCCCTTCAGCAGCATTGCCATTCCTCCGTAGAGTGTCGTCTTCTGTCAGCACATCTAATAAAATCTTTAAAGCTTCGGATTGCTGTTTGAGTTGGTGTTGAACGGCGAGCTGTTCGCTATCGCTTCGATGCCGTAGTTGATTTGCATGCTTCTTGCAAATTTCATTGCGAATCATTACTTCATAGTTGACGCGTCCAATACGTCTCATCACCGTTCCTTTCATCCAATGGAAGTGGGGTGGCTTCCATTGCTTGGCGTATACCAGGTCACCAACTTCGAATTCCCTTCGACATGCTCCATGTTTCTTGTCGAATTGATCTCTCATGCGTTCCCGTCTTCTTTGCGCGAGAGGATCTTCTTCATCTTCGGACATCGGTAGTAGCAGACTTAACCTTGTGCGCAAGTTTCTGCCTAGGAACAATTCCGCTGGTGTCTTGTCGTCTAAGTTCGCGTTTGGTGTTGTCCTATACGCTTGTAACACTACATTCAGAGTGTCTTCTGTTGGTCTCTCCTCCCCCTCTAGTTTCTTGATTCCGCGTTTCAGCGTATCAACGAAACGCTCTGCCTGTCCATTCGATTGAGGGTGGTACGGAGCAGTTCTTATGTGGGTAATTCCACCTTCGTCGCACATCTTCTTGAATAAATCCGATGTGAACTGGGTACCATTGTCGCTCACTATTGTTTGCGGCAATCCGTATCTCGCAAACAAGTTCTTCAAAGCCTTCACCGTCTTCGCAGCCGAGATATTACTCATCTCGATCATTTCAGGCCATTTGCTGTACGCATCTACCACGACCAAGTAGAAAACTCCTTGCATAGGTCCAGCGAAGTCGATGTGTATCCTCTGCCACACTCGAGTCGCGGACGGCCATGCTTCTAATGGTACTTTCGTCGGATTTTTGGCTAATTCCTGACATTTCGTACATCTTCGTACCAAGTCTTCGCAATCTTTGTCAATATTCGGCCAGTAGACATAACTTCGAGCCAGTTTCTTCATTCTTACAATCCCTGGATGACCAATATGCAGTTCCTTCAGAACATTTCTTCGAAGCTTCTTGGGTATCACAACCCTTTCGGCTGACATCAGACACTGCTCCACAATTGACAATGTCTCTCTTCGATTTCGAAAGTGTGCCAACTCTCCATTGACGTCTGGCCACCGTCCTTTCTTCACGTAAATCATCACTCTTTGTAGCATTGGGTCCTTCTTCGTATAGGATTGCACATCTGATACCGTCACTGGCAATTTCCTTATGCAATTCTTCAACATGAAGTTCACGTCGTTCTCAACGGCAGCTACCACAACGTCTTCTTCGTTATTCTGACTCTTCTTCATCAACCGTGACAAGCCATCTGCTTGTCCAAACTTCGTAGTCTTGACATACTCTATGTCAAAGTCATATCCAAGCAGTACTGTAGCCCACCTCATGAGTCGGTTAGCGGAGTAGACTGGAACTCCTTTCTTATCACCGAAGATGGCTAGCAATGGTTGATGGTCTGTCAACAATAGAAACTTTCGTCCAAATATGTACTTGTGAAATTTCTTGACAGCAAAGACAATTCCCAATGCTTCCTTTTCGATTTGCGAGTAATTCTTCTCTGCTTTCGTGAGAGATCTCGATGCATGCGCGATTGGCTTTTCGGATCCATCGGCATACCTATGCGATATCACACAGCCGATACCATAGTCGCTGGCGTCCGCTGCCACGACGATCTGCTGCTTCGGGTCATAGTGAGCAAGGTTCAGCTCACTTGACAAAGTTTCCTTGAGCTTTTCGAACGCTTCTTGGTGAATTCGAGTCCATTCCCACTTCGAATCCTTCTTCAGCATCGCATCCAAAGGTCCACGAAGATCCTTGATCTTTGGCATAAACGCCGCATAGTACGTTATCATGCCAAGAAAAGCCCTTAGTTGACTAACATTCTTCGGCTCATCCATATTCTTGATCGCTTCGATCTTCGCTAGATTCGGTTTTCTGCCATTTCTATCCACTATAAAGCCAAGATATCGTATTTCTGGCTTACCGAAAGAACATTTTTCCAAGCGAATTCTAAATCCGTACTCGGCGATTCTTGCGAACACAGCTAATAAGTTCTCCATGTGTTCTTCTTCGGTTCTTCCACAAACCAAGATGTCGTCCAGGTAGGTTGCTACCCCTCGCAGACCACTCACCATCTTATTCATGATTTGCTGGAAGATTCCTGGTGCTGTCTTGATTCCAAAAGGCAGTCTGTTGTACTGGTACAGTCCTCTATGCGTATTTATTACCACCATTTTCTTCGCTTCTTCTGACAATTCGATTTGCAGATAGGCGTCCGACAGATCTATCTGCGAAAACACCGTGCCTCCATTTAGGGATGCGAATATATCCTCCGGCAATGGCAACGGGTAATCATACGACTCCAGCGCTTTGTTGAGTCCAGTGGAGAAGTCAGCACACACTCTCAGTTTTCCATTCGCCTTCCTAACGCATACGATAGGGGCTGCCCATTCGCTATGTGTCACTGGACTAATAACCTTCAGGTCCAATAGCCTGTCGAGCTCCTTTTCGACAGCTTCGAGCGCAGCATGTGGAACAGGTCTACTAGCCTTGAAAACAGGACGAACGTTTTCGTCAACTATCAAGTGTGCCTTTTCCTTCGTGCATAATCCCAGACCTTCTTCACAGACTTCTGGAAAGGCTTCCTTCAGCTTCAGAGCGATGTCCTTGGTTTTCTCTGTCTTCACTTCGGCAACCATTCTGCTTAAGTGATAGGACATATCTTCGTTCTTCTGGATCCACTCCAATCCCAGCAGTGAGTTATGGGGCGTCACGTATGCGTAGCCTTCACTTCTGGATCCTTTTATCTCATACTCACACCATAGCTTTCCATGGACTTTCATGGAACCTCCACTAGCATTTTTGACGACCACGTTCGTGTGCTCCAACCGAGGAGCGCCCATGCTTCTCCAAGTGGATTCGTTCAGAAGTGTGATGTCTGATCCAGTATCTAAGAGGAAACTGACTGGATGACTATTCACTTTTGCTTCGACATACATGCGTGTAGAGTTGACTTCCATTATCGCGTTCGCAATCTTCGCTACGCTGTGCACATGACGTTTTGCTTTCGTCCAGCTTCTGTTCTTACTGGTGTCGCTGCTTCTGTGGATTCTTCGTTTTGAATGCTGCTGAGTAAGCATTCTCTCCGCTAATTGTTCGCAAAACTTCTCCTTATGACCTGTCTTCTTGCATTTCTTGCAAAACCACAGCTTAGCTTTGCAATCCCTGGAAAAGTGTTCACCACCGCAGTTCCAGCACTCCAGTTTTTTCGGCACTTCCTTGCTTGTTGCTTCGACGGCTTTAAAGCACCCAGCTACAGTCTCACTATCCTTCTTGAGACTTAGGAAGTTTTCGCATTCCAGGTACAACTCTTGCAGCGACATCTTTCGACCAGCCTTGTACTCCTTGTCCAGTACGGCAATGAGTCGCTGTCTGATTTCGGCTTCTTTCTGGTTCTTTAATCCAAATATCCACAGCAGGCATTTGATCCCATCGCTGTCGAGCTCATGGATCTTCGCCTTTTCGCACAGTTCGTTCACTCGACCGGTGTACATGAGGTAATCTTCGGAATCCGCCTTCTCCAGCTTCAGACACTGGTACCTCATGGTAAATTCGGAGATCTTCACGTCGAACAGTTGCTTCAATGTTTCGACCGTTTCTTCGAATTTGATGGCGGTTACTTCTTTTGGTAGCACATGCCTCTGATATTTTTCGAAACAATCCTTGTCCAGTTTTTCGCACAACAGCCTTACCCTGGCGCTCTCTGTGAGCTGCTTCGCGTCTTCGACAAAGACTTCCTTGTAGCGAGCGTACCATCTGCTGAAGCACATATCCGCCTCGGGGTCGAAGGAGAACTTTTCGATCCTGTTGCTGAGCGCGGACATCACATTCGGAATTTCGGTTGAGGTACTGCTTCGTTCAGTACCAGTAATGTGCTTCAATATCTCCAGTAGTTCTCTTCTTTCTTCTTTCATCAGTTCTCTGAGATTTCGCTGATCTTCTTGGAACTCCTTCAGCATGATCAGCATCTCTTCTGATCCCATCTTCGCCATTCTAGTCGACTACTTCTGCTGCCGGGGTTTCGACTGCTCTCTGCCTTCTTCGACTC